GTGGGTCTCCCCTGCCGCCGCCACAAAGGCCTTCGCAGGGGCCTTCGAGGCCGTCTTCTCCGCGGAGGCCTTGGTGGCTCGTCGCTGCTTTTTATGCGGCGCGAGGTCGGGTGCGGCCTGGCGAAGAGCCGCCGCCGTGGCCTTCCCAGCAGAGGGAGGGGGAGGGGGAGGGGGAGGGGAGGCCGCGTGGCTGCCACGGGCCGAAGCCGCAAAGGCCCGCTTTAGCAACGCCTCGCGGCGGGTTTGGAGGTGCGTGGAGGGGAGGACGCCGCCGGCGAGGGCGACGTCGGGGATCCGGTCGGGGGCTTCGCTGGCCGGGGGGTGGCCTGCACCGTCGCCGTCACCGGCCTGCTGCAGGCGCGCTATTTTCTTGACGAGGCGTCGCTGTGTTTTGGTGGAATGCTTGACCATTATAGGATATTAGAGACCACTAATTGTACACTTATATTATTAATTCTTAGTTTAGGCACACCTTTACACGTATTATAACTTTAACCCGATTTCTATTAAGGAGCCGAGAGACAAGTTAGAAGGAAAAGAATCGAACGATGGCAATTATAACCGCAATGGCTGTGAATGAGTAGAGCTTTTGCGAAGAATCAGAACACCTTTCAGTGACACTTTTCATTCAAATCAAACGTGTAACTTAACTAGGGGTGGTATATCAAGCAGCAGGATATAATTGAATAATATTATTAACATTGTCATTGTTAATATAAATATAAATATTTGAAAATCAATAATAGCGATAGCAACTACAAGAGTTACAATATTGTACGCACTTTAATCGGGAAGGGAATGAGTTCAACTTAGGGATACATAAAGACACACACACTAGCATAAAATAGCTTTTAGATTAACATTTGAAGCTATAGTTCCCTATGCTTTGAACATTAATTTAAATCAAGCGCAAGGAAGAACGTATCGGAAATATCATTTATTGTATTTGATTAAGAGACCATAGCGCATCTCCTCAGCTAAAACAAAAGGTTTTGCAAACCATGCGGGGTTTTTCAAGAGGTACTGCGCTGGTGGTAACGGCGAAAATGCTACAAAAGGTGTCATTGGAAAAGCAGTGTTTGTGGCAAATACGGGGTTGCGTTCGCAATGTGTAACCTTCAGATGGTCTTTTCGTTCATTAGTTTCGAGCACGTTGTCCTCGTCTCGTCGCGTACCTATCTCATGGGCGGGAAGAGGATGTCTCCTTTTCATTCCGTCGTCCGCTCGGACCCTTCCTAAAGGTCTCCCGGTGCCCAAGTACGCGCTTAGGAGGAACCGATGTAACGCTAATTCTGATCGAACCGCCGCGGCCTGATATCCAAACGTCGCCTCGCTAGACGACGTCCGATTCGTAGGATGGCACTCTCTTTGCGATTCCATCCCCAGATTATCGGCCCCTTTGTCTCCAAAGCGGAGGAGCGAAGTACTTGTCGCGTAAGCGTTCCAAGCCTCGTAAACTAAAACCGTGTTTGGAGGGCAACGGTAAGGCACGTGGGGTTGCTCCTTCGCGGCGCTATCTTTCCCGTCGGACCGATTCCTGTCGTGAATGGTGAAAACACGCTGTTTCTCGGCAGCGAGACCCGCTTCCTGTTCTGAATTCAAAATAGCGGCATCGCTGTGGCCCCCTTTCATTCCCTTCTCCTCCTCTAAAGCGGCAAAGGGCAGCTCGATGCGGTGCACGACGTGTCCGAAGGTTATCGCTGTGGATGCTGCCGGCACGGCCTCCCCCACCAGCCCCTGCTGCGATTCCCAGGCGAAACTATCCTCCGCTCGAGTACAGAACAAGGGAAGCTGCGGGAAGGAAAGCTGATGAGAGGCCATGAAGCTCCTCTCCCTTTGCGATACTCGCCATCGCGTTTGGGCCTCGTCCATCGGGTCGCTCGGCCCAGAGGCATTCAGAAAGGGGTTATGCACATGAAGTAGCATTTCATAATAGATACACTCCTCAGCTAACAACAAAAGAACCCCAACGGAGCGATTCACGATCCACGACCGCCTCGCCCCCTCCCACGCTAATTGGGCGGGGTAATTTTTATCCTTTGAGGGTCCCTCCACCCGCCGATCCGTTATCTTTGAGGGGAGCACGGCTGCAACGCCGTCTCCGGTTGGGTTTCCCACTTCCGCCTCATCGCGTCCGACGAAGGGAAGAATCCTGCGCAGGTGGGCATCAAAGGGCACGCACCACCAGTTCATCACCCCACCTCCGCCATCACCCTTACAAGCATGAAGGTACCCACCGGTTCTCCCGCGAGGCGTGCGCTGATCCGCGTAGCTTTGCGGTCGCGCGAACAAAAACAAAGACGCGTCAGTCTCCGGATTAAAATGCGAAGGATAGGGATGGAGATTGATGGCAGCGGAAGGATCGTCTTTAGGGGGTGGAGTTTGCTTCCGTTTGGCGCTTTCATGGCTGCCCTTTGTGGCGTTTTTCTCACACCCCTCCGGCTCCAGGCAAGGGGCGTCTCGAACACCGCTCATGCCAGACATCCAGCTGTCGTTCTCGTCAGAGGAGTCAGCTGACTGATTTTTTAACCTGCTCGAGCACGATGCAAACGCGGATTCCGTCGATGCTGAGGAAAAATCTTGTGGCAAACTATTCGGCCCGGCGTCCTTGGTATCATGCGTTGGAGCGCAGTAGGAAGGGCAAATAAACGCGATGTACTCGTTCAAGGTCATCACAGTCGCCGCCGCCCTGCTCCACCGCCGCACCTTAGACGAAGCCATAGAGGTGGCAAAGGAGAACGGCAACGGCTCGCCGTCTCCCACGTCATCTGCCACGACGCGTTGATCTGGATTTTTCCTCTTGTGATCTCCACAATCGTTGCGTTCTTCACGCACCGCGCCACGGTTTCGCCCCGCCATGCCTACCCCATTAACGCTAGAACAGAGACCCGTTGAGGTGATATTATAACGACTGCATTTCACCGATCGCATTGAGGCGATCCCTGTTGCTTCACCTTTCGGCCACTCATAGCGTAAATTGATCGGTGGCTGAGGGAGTCCTGGGATCGCGTAGAAACGGCCTACCGCCTTGTAGTTCGATTTCCCCTCCTCATGATAATACAGATAGTAAACGGCGGACGTGGCCCATAAACACGATTGTATTTCAGCATGAGAATGAGAATCACCACATTCAGCATGCCGAATCTCACTCAAATTACGTTTGCCTAGAAAGGTATCAATCATGCGGAGCCAGAGTCGTTCCTTGCCGCTATGCACGACGTCATGCGACTCCGATGCACGCGACGAACGCAATGGTGCATCAGATATTTCCCGCTTACGGCCACAGTCACACTTAGCTGATATCCTACTCAGGGTAGATGAGTCACCCTCTGCGTGTATATTGTTCTCCTTCTCGTTTAGCATGTCACTGGTGAGAAGTGGAAAACGTGCTTTAGACTCCTCTGGATCTGGTGGTAGAGCAGAAGAATGAGGTACACCAGCCTCCACAGCCGCGACGCGGATTAGAAAAAGTTTATCCCAATCAAATGACACTTCAGAGGAACAACGAGAGGAAAGCGGCATCGATTTGGGCCTATGGATCCCCTCCTGAGGTCTATTTTCGTCATCCTTGAAATATTTCCCTCCAGAGGGAACGAAAAAAAGACCAGAATTCATGTCCCCTTCCTCGCTTTTAAAGGAGTCGTCCTTGGGGCCTCGCCGGTTAATTAAAGGAGAATGCAAACCCATCATCGTATCGGTGTTCCTACGGTAAGTATTTCGAGTTGCATCTTGCATCTCAGGCCTGATAACAACTCTGCTACGATCAACCTGATGCACATCCCGTGGAGGGAAAAGCTTTAAAAACTCAGCCACTATCGTGGCGGGGGTCACTGTCATGGTTTGATGATGAGAAACCACGGTGCGCATCGAAGAGAACATATGGGCTTTCTTGCGAATGTCTTTATCAAAGCAAAAAGATTTCTGTTTTGGAAATGAGGTAGACCAAGCTTTCTGAGCTGACGTGCGGCAACCGCGATGATGATACGGAGCCCAACGTGGAACATCCTGCTTCATCCTAGACTCCCCCGAAAGGGGAGTTTTCGAACCGAAATGCGAAAGAGGACAAGCCTTACACTTGAAAGGCCATACAGGCTGGACATTAGAGATTTTGTTCATCCTACTCGCATGTTACCTTTATTGGAGCAATTTTTTTTACTGAATTTAAGGTTCTGTATTTTCTTTGCGCTGAAAGTGCTCCATTCTGTTGCACATAGGGTAGAAATTAAGAAATAGAAAAAGCGCGAAAATTCCCTCAGACAATTTCATTTCCGATTCAAGGGGAGGAAATATTTCAACCCATTAACACATATAAGATGCAATGCAAGTTAGCACAAGCCGCTGAAAGGCCCTTTGATTCGTTTCGTCTGCTCTTTACCATCTGGCATCTTTAAGGAGAAAAGAGGAAAAATGCAAAAAGTAGAGAAAAAGCATGAAATAAAGCACAAAAAAATGTTTAATTCGTCAAGATTTTGAGGGGAAAAAGTGATAGAAACAGGGTTATATTGTAGTAATTAAATCTGAATTGGAAATTTGGCATTTTCCTGCCACTAATGCTTTAAATTCAGCAAAAAGTGATTTTGTGAATAGAAAAGGATATATGATTTTTAAAAAAACGAACGCTTGTGCATGTATAGAATGGGGAAAAAGGATAGGGTATTTTGTATAATTTCCTCCTCCTTGGGCACTTACTCGTCATCCTCTTTGGGATCCTTTAGCATATATTCATCAGCTAGGCCTTCCTCCACCGCGTGATGCACTTCTTCTGAGGAAGGTAGTTCCATCTCCAACTGTATAACCGAAGGCAGGTCTTTTTCCACATCGGAGGCACTAGGAATATCATTCTCGGTTGTAATTTTCTTTAGAAGTGAGCTCTCAGGATTGTGTATGGGTACTTTATTGCCTTCGTTGGTCGTGCCCCATTTGGCATTTGCGTAAAGAAACGCCTTTGAATTATATATAGCACAATGGGATATCAAATACATGGTAGGTGCAAGACAAATGCTGCGCATCAGTGCTGTTTTCTGAGGATAAACACCAAGGCAGCTGTATCGAACGCCTTTCAAAAACGAAAAGACCCCCACACTCATATGCTAAAAATAATATTTTCTAGTATTCTCTTTGCTCTTGTTTGGCAAATTTCCTGTTTTGTGCATGCACAAGATGATATTTCATATGGAAAAGTACAATAGAAAGAAAAGGAATAAAAGGAGGAGTTTGTTCGTAGAGCTGTCAGTTCCTCATTGGAAAATAGCACTTAGCGTACACACTGAGAGAATCAGTCTGGTCAGCAAACTAGTACCCTATTTATAGTATCTAAGAGAAGCAGAAGTATGACGGGGTTGTAAAATTTTTCAAAATATATGGGAGTAAAAAACCCTCCATCTACACTAACACAGGGACAATAAAACAACATCTAAGGGTTGATCATCTATTTGTGCACAAAGCAAAATAGCGACGATAATAAATTCAAATTGAATATAACTTCACCCATATATAGCGTCTATCAATCATATTTTGTTTCTTAAATACGAGTACTTACGTGCGGTAACATATTTCATAGGGGCTTTAATCAGAGTTTTGTAGTTTAGTAAAGGGGTACGGGGAATATGGGGGAACCCTCTTCCTGTAGTGGGGACGAGAGGGACTGTTGTAGGTCAACTGAGCCCCTGTGGCCGTTAGGGAGGAAAAAAGTGTAAAATCCTGGCGTGGTATCCCGCGAGGCGGCATGAAACTTTCCAAAGCATTAAAGGTACCTCAGTTTTTCATTTTTTGGATCCGAAGTGAATTTTAAGTTGCGTTTGATGCCAAATAGGGTCGGAACAATGTGCCCCGGATGTTGAAAAAAGAACGGATTGACGCGATGCTAAAACAGCATTTGTATGCGAGAAGCAGCCTCACGGGCATTAAATTGGAACTTCAGCTTACTTTTCACAAGTGGCCACGATTTGCTCATGTTAAGCTATGCACGTAGTAAAAATCCATCAATGCTCGTCCAAGAGATGTGGCAGCTGAAAAAGGCGGTGATGGCGTGGGGGGGGTCTGCCTCAAGTCATTTGGAAGTATCCTGTAAACGAAAGTTGTAGGAGGAGCAAAAATTCGAATGTACAACAAATATGCAGGGGATTCTAGTTTTAACACAGGTATCTCCCATTACATTTACGCACATAGATCTACCTTTGATGTAGTAGGAAATGTATCGACCTTCCCCTTGCTACGAATCAGGGCGATTATTAGCGTAAAAACCCTACTTTACGCATTCGTCCTTGAAAAATGGAAAAGATGGAAATATAGCAGCAATCAAAGCTCCATAATATTCTCCAGTTGTTGTTTTTTAAGTGGAGTAAAATTAAAGCACATCAATATTATAAAGGGATTAGGAAGCAACCAAGGAATTGGAAAAGTGGTTCGTTTCAAATACTCCTTACAACAATATATAAATAATTTTGGAAAAGGGTGCTTCTTTTTCATTTCTACACTTCTTTCACCTCGATTTACATAAGTTTCACGGAGAAAGCATTCGAAAAACTGCAAAGGTGTGTGTAATATCGAAAGAATTGAATAAATATCAAGAAAAATATAAGCATTGGAAATCTAAAATATCCGTCAGAAATTAAGTAATGGAAAAGGTGTATCATGTCGAATATTTGATCTCTCATAAAAAAAATGGTGTTTGCGTATATTTGAAATACCCTGGTTGGGGTTGATATTGCGGTGTAAACCTTATCACATGGTTGCGAAAAATGCATAGTAACATAGATAGGAAAGAGTGCAGGAAATGAATAAAAAATAAAGAAATAGTAAACAAATGAAAAGAATCACGCAAGCGAGATGTTTGACCTAGCGAAACTCATTTTTAAGTACACGCGTATTCATTTAAATTCGATGCACGCACACTTACATTTATACTTACAGTTCAACATTTAAGAAGCACTTATAACATTATATAGGAGCTACCACTTCCAATGATGTTACAGTTTTCTTGCAGACATTCCAAAATGGTATTATATATTTAAAAAAAAATGAAACTCTCTTAATGTGAAAACAATTAGAACACTAACAGAGCGTTGAAGAAAGGTATACAATAGTATTCCGCAACTGATTTCATATGCCATCAGAATAGGATAATAGATGTTTGACTCTAAAAATATTAACTGTGAGTTGAATCCTCGCGTGGTGTTCACCTTTTTCGTCCTCAAAGAGTCTGGAAAACATTTTTATCGTGAGTACTTCGATGTCTCAGCGGCAATCAGCTATCAAAAAATGAATCCATCCTGACAGGTAAAAGTAGGTGCTATAATCAGTGGATCTGTGGTGCTGTACGACGTGGGAAAGTATCAACAACAGAAGCTCTGTTTTGTTCCTGTTGGGGTCAGGCATGAATGCACAGTTATTTTACCATTAAATTTTCAAATACTTCATGACGAAGGTCTTATATCTAAAAGACACAGAGAAAATTCCTGAATAAATATCATGAGTAGTCGTGATGATGAAAAGTGGCACCATCACCGCTCTTGTCGTCCTACAAAGAACCCACTTTTAACGTTTACATCGTGCATCCTTCGAGATTTCTAGCCACGACGATGATAGTAAACATAGTGCCTAGAACGTGATGAATCCACTTCAACCTGAGTTCTTTTCTCATATCTATTGATAGGTTATTATCCCTGTAAAAGCCTGCCTTCCCTCGGCAATTGTTTCTAATCGACTGTGCAGCTACTGCTTCAGCTCCAGGCAACCCTCTTGTAAGGAAAGTTGCGCGTGTATAAATGGCAGACTACCCGATACATCTACGCAGGTACACAACAAGAAGCTTCATGATCTTTCGATCTTAGCAAGTATTCTACAAACCTGCCTGCCCGTTCCACAACCAGAATCCCATCTTCGACCTTCCAAAAAAGGGTATGTTTTGATCATACTTGTTAGCTATTGCCACCATGGCTGGTCGAACGTTTCGCGGAGAAAATATCCCTCATTGTACGGAAAGAAAAAGCTTGTCTCCCAGTATGAAAAATCACGGGTTGATGCTTCTACTGGAGTTTCTGCTGCTCACGAAGCCTGCGGCGAAGGGTAGACCGTAACGAAGACCCTTCTCTTCTAAAGAGAGATATTTGTGACTCCGGGGACGAACCATCACTCCTATCCCCCTCTATGGATTCCACAGATGAAATTCCACTTAACGTTCTCGTATATCCCCTCATACTAGATTTAAGACTATACTTGCCGTCCCTGACCAAAAGCATGGCCTCTTGGTTATATGCCCGGAAGCGCTCGAGTTCCGCCAAACGGTCAGAGACGTTCCACTCGAGACTACTCACCCCAGGGTTATCATTATCGGACTCATCCCGTGTACTAGCGGCTACCGAGATCGGAGAATCAACGGAGCCTCCACCGACTTGAGGCTCCACATCCCCCAGCGCCGTTTGAGGTGTCGAGTCCTTGAATGTTTCCTGTGATGGCTCCTCGCCGACATGCGGAAAGTCGAATATTCCATCAGAATTTTTGAGAGTCCCCCTTCTGCGAGAAAGGTCCAAGGGTTGAACGCCACCTCCGAGACAATCCGGCAGGTCTTGTCCATTCAACAAGGAACGGGGCACTCCCTCGAATTCGGTTGGGCAGTCCTTCTGCAACCCCGACAACAAATCCATCCGGGATGAGAGGGTCGAGATCAACAAAGTGGGTGAAAATAACGCGGGCAAAGAAGCTATAGGGTTTGCTTCACAGAGACGTGTTGGTGGCCCTTCCGGGGAGATTCGATCCCCACGGGGTAACCCCTGCTGATGCGTAGTAGCGCTATTGTTCGCGCAGCCCTTGGGTGTGTCGGCGTTTCCTGGCATACCCCACCCCATCGCGTCCTCACCGGTGAAAAAGACTTCGCCGTTGCAGCACGTTCTAAGATTGTCCGGCTCATCGCTGCCGGTCCCCCCCTCTTTGAGCCAAGCTAAGAGTCCTTCAGATGTTTCAACCGCCTCCGTGCACGTGGAATCCTGCGAAAGGCAATGCGCATGCACTTCCACATCGTGTTCCGTATCGGGGAATGGACTCAGATCCCTCCATGCCGGTGGAAGATGCTCCAGCTGGTGTAACAGCTCGTAGTCACTCCAGCCGGAAAGCTTTGTTTGCTTGATGGTTTGAGATGGATAAGAGGTTTCAGCCTCATTCTCTTCCACCACTCCCGGACCGTCTAACCTAACAGTAGTGGCCGCCGTGGCACCCTCCGCCCTCATGCTCTCACTAGATGCGAAACCTTTTGATCCGGGAAACAAACTCATCCTTGGGACTATCGGTGGACGACGCATCACTGGTACAGGCGGTATACCTTGTGCGACTACTGATTTAGGAGGAGGAAATACAGCCGTATGAGAAACTGCTTCTGGAAGCTCATGCAACTTTTCGTCTTGCCTATTGCTTCGAATAACGCAGCCCAACACACCCTCTGAATAAGCTTCAATGTAAGAGACAGTAGCAGAACCTCCTGCGTCCCCCTCCTCCACCTTGAAAGTGGACGACAAGGAGATCTCGGATCGGTCTAACGGTGGCATATGTTCCCCACATGCATTCTCTGGTTTCGTACGCACGGAGCCTAATGCGGTGAAAGATTGTGTAGACGCATCAATCGGATTCTCCCTCTTCTCCTCATGACAAGGAGCATAGTAGCGATCCATATCACCGCTACAACTGTCACTAGGGTATGAATTACAATCCAAATTCTCTGTATTCACATGTGGAAGCGGTGAAGTGTTGCGACCGGGCTCCGGAGCCTCCGCAGGTAGGGGATCAAGCGAGAAACAAAATGCGCTTGAAGAATTCGGATAGATGCAAGTGTCATCTGATGTAGAAAGCACAGGAATAACAGCGGACATTGGAGAAATAAAATTAGTATTTTGCGTATTGTCAGGGGTGGATATAACAGCTTCAGGAGAAAGAGATTTCAGCGCCACTCCAGGTGAGGGTGGGGAAGGCGAGGTGGTCTCGTGTGGTGGTGGAGGAAACAATCGATACAAACCTTTCTGCTTTTCTATTTCGCTAACACATAGCCTAGGCGAGAACCTCGGTGAGAGATGTGCCAACGATGGAAGACGTAGCGATTGCGAATTTGAATGCGAGCGTGGTGTAACGGTCGCACTGACGATGGTAGACGTGCTCCTCAGTAAGCCCCGAGCGGATGGCGGGAAAGAAAAGATGCTCGAAGTCACACAAGACACCCGTTCCGTTGAAGGTGGACGCGATGGTGAGGAAACCACAATGCTAGTACCACTGAGAGCTCCATTGCTATCATCATTGTGGAAAAAGCCATAGGGTTGGGCCTCTGAGACAATAAAGCTGGTAGATGGCATATCACGTAACTCCATCATGGTACCTTCTGAAGAGCCACGAAGCATGGACTTGAGGTGGTTGTACCAAACCCGTTTACAATCAATGGTTGGTATTTTGATTTTGCCACTACAACCAATCGAAGTATCTTTATCTTCACAGAGATCATGACTTTCTTTTCTAGAGGATGACGAAAGGCGAGATGGTGCGCTGTGTGTTCGCCGTGTTCCTGACAGGCCCAGTATTCCAGAGCGATTAGCGCGGAATAAATAAGAACTGGGATACGAGAAGGCACCAGAAGAGATCGGCATCTCCGTTGAAATAGGGCACCGTGATAATACCGGAGGCATCACCCGTGTTAGACACGATTGCAGTGCGCGCCTCGAGGACCCACGCTGGTGAAGAGAACGAGTCGAAATCACCTCTGTGGGAGGGATTGTCATTGCAAATGCATCATCCATGTCGCTTTCAAATCCCTGTGCATCTTTATCCTGATCTGTATCATTATTTTGATTCGAAGCACTGGATTCCAAAGAGCTAGTGAAAACTCGATATTCTGCATCTGGGGTCATATCATGCCGCTCAACCACCTGCAGTGCCGTTGAAGCTAAAGTACAAGGCATCTCATCATTTAATGTTTGAGTGATTTTAGTTTCAATGTATATCCCATGTTCATTGACCACCGATGGGATCCCACTATCACTCCTAACTAAACTACTACGAGCTCCATCATACTTCTCACAACTCTGATCAGGTTGAGAATGCTCTGTTTTGTTGAGATTTAAAGTCATTTCTAGCATGGCAATGCTCTCAAATATGCACTCTTGGCGTGAGAAAAGTGACGACAATTTTGAGAAAACCAACGGGGCCACGTCTGTAGGGATTGTAATACCGCTAGAGATGCCTTTAGAATGCAGATCCTCTCGCTTCATTAATATTTCGATATCGGGATGAGGGAGACATGAATGTTCAATCTCTTGTCGCACTAACGCCTGAGGTGAAGTCGGTGAACATGAAGTGGCTAGGTCATTTAACTGCTTTATTCTAATAGGGCAGAGACTCATAGAGCCATTCACAGCTCCACTACAACTGGATTTGAACTTGATCAGTGAGTTTGCGACTAATTGAGTATGTTTTGTATCAGCTAATTCAGATAGTAGAACAGGCTCATAAAGTACCGATGGTGTCGCCACCGTTGTGGGCTCAGAAGATGCACTTTTGCACTTTTCTGCATCATCATCGCCTCCATTTGGATCAGGGCTACTGCTTCTTACACTTGATGACTCCTTAGTTTCGTTTCGGTTCAATGACAGGATTGAATCACTTTTCCTGACTAGTGTGGCACCGCTTTGGATAAATCCATAAATAGCACTCGATTGCCGTTGATTGGTATTGCTGCTAACGTCCCTAAGCTGCGTGATCTCGTTACTAACGCCGCGTACCTCGGGGTAAAATTCCTTTTCTGCAGTTTCACTCATTTCACCCTTTGTTTTATTAGATTATAATTTTAAATAAGGGGTAAAATACAAATAATGAAACAAAATTATGAGCCAACACGAAATTGGGGAAAATATAACAAGAATAAAAATTAAATAGCGAACACTGTATATCCGGAATTCTGTGTTTGCCGTAAGTGTTATAGTTCTTCCACCTTCACTAATTCTATTTTGGATGAGTATATGCAACCTAAATGTGCGCTAACAAAATAGTTCAACTACTTTTGTTATGATTATAAAATTCTCTCAAGAATACAGATAATAATAAGCACTCTAGCCTCGTGGTACAAGAAGCAAATGACAGAAAGTGGTAATTATTTCGAAGATGAGAAATAATGAGGCACTTCTATATACGCACGGTCACACAGACATTCAACTTTGTTAAACCCTTGCCTAAATATATTAAAAAGATCTATGATATTTCAGGCAATGTATTACTTGTCTACTATATATATAGATATATATATATATATATATTTATGTGTGTGTGTGTACTTATGTGTACAGGTATATTTTCTGGTAAGAAAAAAAATGAAGAGCAAAAAGGAAGTCAAATTGCAATTTTAAAAGTTTTTGTTGCGCAGGGCATATTTTTTTTCCCATATACGCACAACCTAAGACAATTATCTCACATCGATTTACTTTGTAGTGAGACTGTTGCTATTGTTCTTTTCACTTGTAAACATGAAAACATCAACTCAAATATTCGAAGTACTATTTTACATCAGTTTTAGACCTTATCACAATATGCACTCACTCTTCTCCTTTCTACTTCCTCGATTTGGGGGGGTCGGCGGCCCCACTGGATGCAAGTACACTTGCCCCTCGTGTTGGTAGAGCCGCCGCTCGAGCTGCCTCATCGGCGGCTATCTTTTGCTTTTCTATTCGTACGAAATCCTGCAGTAATCGCGAAAGTACTTCATGCTCGCCATTGGGGCCAGTCCACAGAACATCCAAGCTTTCAACACCTTTTAGCCACAACGCCAGAGCCGAGGGCCTTTCAGAACTATTTCCGCCCGCTGCATATGCAGGCTGGGTGGATTTGACGCTATTGGTCTGCAAGGCCGGCGACATGGAAGAGGCAGGTCTTTGAGGGCTCAACAAAAGATCCTGAGCGGCCCATGAAAGAGGGATCGGAGGAGTACCATTAATACTGACCCCAATACTTGCTGCTGCCGCAGAAACTGCCAAGTCAGTTTTTTTCTTATGCACCTCCTTTGCATTGCTTTGACTGACACTGGCATTCCGAAGCTTTTTCGCTGATGTTGCTGCTTCCTCACACGACAATGACCTTGAATGTGAAGTAGTATTATCCTCATTAGCACTTGTTCCTTGGCTTTTCAACCCCTCAGTCGCGTCTGTTTCCATGGTATTGTCATCCTTCTCACTTGATGCCGATGGGATAGGATGTGTAATGAGAACCGAAGAATCATCGCGTGCACCCTTTGGCCCCCTATGTGGCGTTAAATGTGTATTCTTTACAAAATTCAGCATGCCAGTGAACGACATATAATCCAACATTTTTTCTGAAATCCCACTATTCATCTCCAATGCATTATCGTACCTGGAAGCTCCCACTGCCAGCTCTAGGGGAGTGCTGAAGGAGTTTGCATCAGGCACATGTCCAGAAGCTAATAAAAGCTGTAGCTGTTGATTGGGTTGCTGCCCCGATCGAGATGAACCGTGGTTGTCATAAATGCTGGGTTTGATGCCCGGCTTACGCTCTTCAAAGTCTGGCTGTACGGTGCTTCTCCTGTCATCTAAGGGTGGCAGGAGGGTAGAACCACTTAAATGGTTCAAATATCCCGATTCTTTCGATGAATCCATACGGCAACCGAGAAGAACTAACGCAGTATATGTTGATGAGCTGGTATCATTTACATTTGTGTTGTTGGAAGCTGAGGCACTGGGCCCCGGGAGGGAAAAATAGGCGCTTTGTTCAGGAGCTGTGCGTAACCCAACAAAGGGGATGTTGGTAACATAGGATGCTAGTAACGATGTGAGGGAACTACTTACTGGGGCACTTGAAGCATTTCCATCAGTAGGGCTTGCCGACGCTCCTGTCAGTGGAGGCCCTCCCCCATGCATCATCCCTGCAGAATTGCTGCTACTCCTTTTGTATAAAGCGGCAATAAGCTTCGGATTCGAAGCTATTTCCAGCACAAAAGAGAGGGGCACAAGTTCGACTTTCTTATACAAATGAGGACTAGCTGTGAGGGAGCCTACCTTTTCCTTAGCAGAATCCTCCACAGGCAGAACCTGGCTACACCGGTCGCTAGCCTTTGCGCGTGGGGCGAGAGCCGAAAAGTGCGAGCTTAAGTTGATTTTGCCCAGATTGGTGTTGTCACCGTTATTGGCCAAATCCACCAAGGCAGTATTAAGTGAACCTATTGTACACTCTGTGTTAAAAGCAGTAACTTCATTTTTGTGATGATGAACAAAAATAAGGGGCATTATGTTTTTCCTAAATCATCTACCATTCAAAATTTCCAAGAAAAAATCGAAAATAATACGCATAATGGAGTGGCTGCCATCAGTGTAGCTTTTGGAAATGCATGATTCTCGAGGATATGTTTAACAGTACATAAGCCTCTATTTAAAATTTCATGATTCTTTTCCCTCTTGCTGGTTACTTGCCTTATTATGCTTAGTAATCAGTATGTCGTTTAATCGCGTAACATGGCGCAAAAAAAATGCAATGCGAATGTCGATAATTCTCATAACATTTTTTTTAGTGAGGGAATTTCCCTTCATCACCAAGGTATTCTTGCAAATATAGATATGTATGCAAAGATGATGGAAAATAAGTATAATTGCAAGGAGAGGAATAATACACAAGTATATATTTATTTGCTTGTGTGCATGTTTGTAAGTGGATTTTGTTAGCACTGATAATATAAAAGGATTATGTCATTTCGTAAATAATGAGCTCGACAACAATTCCCACACTGTTAACCAGAGCATTCAATGAAGAAAGAGCCTTCAAAAAGGGAATTGCAAGGGAAGTTACAAATACATTTACAAAAACTAGTACAAGCATGACAACCCCAAACGATGATGTAAAAAGTCTTGAAATGAACTCAACTATATCAAGAGAATCAACGAAATACTCCTCCTCGGCTACAATCACGCTGTGTCTACCACGCTCATCCGACACAAAATCTTCATGAGAGCTTGTATCTTGCTTCTTAATCTTTTCATGTGGATGTCTTTCCACCTTGTGCGTTCTTCGTCGACGTCTTATGATACCTCTTGATAAAAGTTGCTGCTTCAAGAGTTTGAAGCTCACCATACAGTATCCAACCATGCCCAGTGTAAGGACCGTGATGCCGGTTTGAACAACAATGCCTCTCCAACCGTTTTTGAGAATAAACCCGAACCACTGCCCAGTAAAGAAGGGAAGAAGCATGTATAAGCGCTCACCTAGACCAATCACATGTTTTTTTCTTGTCTGAAATAGCAGTTGGGATTCATGGGCATCATCGTTACTGTCATGCCCACATGCAACTGCTTTATGAGCTGGGTATTCAAAAATCCTATGAATATGGTCTCCACGGCTGACCTTCGCGTCAAGAACATCCTTGACCTTACACAGAATTCCGCTGAAGAAGCCAGTGGTGATGGATACCACTAGCCACATCCAACCAGGGTCTGTGGCATAGCGGTGGTGGTGCATGAACATGTTTGAATCAGGGTCTACTGTCGCATGAGAAGACGACGCAGAGGTTGGCATAAATGATAAGGTATGTGTCGTAGACGAGGAAGCAGATGCTGAAATATTAGATGTCAACCAAAAATTTTCACTGAAAATGCCCAATAGCCACGAAAGTACAAACAAAAATTCGCCACCGTTTTCAACACGGACGCTTAAAATCCATGTACAGACAATGGCAAACAAGCTAAAGGCTAGGACTTGTATCACAACAGGTACAAAGGCCTCAATATCGAATCCTTTTGAAGAGAAATAGAACTTGAACCAGTTCCAAGTATCACCAAGTTGAAATCCTTGAATTAAAAGAATAATGCTACCCGGAAATGATGCTGCAAATGTATGGTTAGGAATAGTCGTGCTAAGCTTCAGGTTGTCACTGCGAGTCAGTAAACGTCTGCTACCTTCAGTATCGGCAATAAAAGAATTGCAGTATGCTGTATAGACGGCAGCGATTGAGTAAGGCACCCATATAAGGATGGAAGAGCTAACAAGAGCTACTTCAAGAGCACGACTATCTGTACTGCCCGCATAACGGCGAATAGCTACCCTCGATAGACCACTGGTCATCATGGACAATGATTGGAAAAATAGTGAAAAAGACTTGAGAATTTTTCTGAATAACGGTTCAATTCAGATACTAACATGCCTTAAGGATTAAAAAAAATATTATAAAGATTCAGGTAAATATGCATGACAAGGGCTACTTGAGTTTAATCATCAATATTTACGGCAGATTTAAGTAAATATCCAGAGAAATTGGAGTTAAAAAAACTGATATACGACCCGGCGCGCAAAACAACGCGCAACATAATACGATGAATCCAATGGCACCTAAAGAGACACCCCCCTCCATACACACGCACGAAATTAGGGTTCAACGGTGGTGGAACAAAAGAGGTTACAGAGACTTAGACATCCTATTAGCTCTGAGTACTAACCAAACATAACACAATAATTGACTTAGTCAGGGAAAAGCTAGCACACCTTTCTAAAAAGCCTATGAAATAATTTCAGAATGAAATCCCTATTTTAATGATCTCAAAAATTACGAAAGGAAAATAGTAAGTCTAAAGGCTTTTTTTTATCCGGAATTGTGGACTCCTTTCATCTTGTAAATTCCATTCTTTCACAGGAAAAGCGTTTTAATCTGGAAGACCTTGAGAGAACTAGAAGCAAGGTTGTGGTCTGACTCCAAAAATAAACTATCAAAAAATCCTATTTGTGGTGGATAGCCTGTCTGTTTTGATCTTTTTGTCAAAGATCTTCTTTTTATGACCCTCTGCATCCAAAACACATGATTTTTTTATCATGACAGCAGGCTTCGTTTAGGCATCCACTTCCTTGATTGTATTGTTCTTCTCCTGAGTATCCTGCGTCAGATTTCCCAATAAATCCGTTAACGTCATCAGTCTATGGCCATCCCATGGATTTGGGCTCGCTCATGAGGCCCGCACAACGCTAAAGAGGGAATCATCGCTTTTGAGAAAACTGATCCCTCTCCTTGTGTGTTCCTCAATTTACGTCGATGTCTGAGACTATTCATTCATATTTTAACTTCAGTCTGTAACTAATTCTGAAACACAGTGTCTTTTGATTTCGAATTGACCATCTTATGTAAAAGCCGTTGGCACCCCTTCAGTTTTTTATGTCCTTCTTTTCCTGTACACACGTTCCCTCTTCATTGAGCTCTTCTCATGCTATATACAGGAGGGTCCCCATTTCAGTACGCCGGACTTCTGCACAGCTCAATCGTATCGTATATTCTCTGGATTCCAGGAATCATTGAAAAGCTGAAGGGTCGGCGTTGCTCGCTCATCAAGCAGAGTGTGCTTATCACCACTTTCCACCGAGAGATGACATTGTCCATCATCGTTTTCTGCTCATCCAATACAGGCACATCAGCACAGGCCTTAACCACTCGTTTGTAATCCATGCCATTGGAAAACACATCTCTAGGGCCGTTCCAGTTAAACTATACCAGGGTACCTCTTCCCGAAAAGCCAGTGTGGTAAGCTGCAACACCCTCTGCAGACAAAGAAAAAACGCACACTCAGTTCTTGCTTACCCATCATCCCGCTGCGCATTCCTATTGGCCAACCTAGCTGATCAGGTTCGTTCAGTATACACTACGTGCTAGGGGATTGTCTCCAATCAAAGGCATTCACAAACGGATATCAATGGCATCGCTAATGGAAGCTTTCGGGAACATTCATTTTAATCTAAGATCGTTTTGGGATCGAGAAACAAAGCAGGTAACCTAGCAAAATAAACTAATAATATTATGATAGAGTTTCCAATACTGCATTTAAAACACAAGCTGTCTCAAAAAG